GACGAAGAGGTCGTGGTTGGGCTCGAGGCGCAGGCGGATGCGCTTGCCGGAGACATCGAAAGCGAGGTCGAACGACGAGACGGCGGTCACGCGATGTGTTTGTGTGAGGATGTCGGCATTCTTAGCGAGCGCAATGCTCTGCAATGGTGGGCGGGCGTGTGAGGAGGCGGCTGTTATGGTGGCGAGGCCGATGGTGATGGCGGCCCGGAGACTCCCAAAGATGCGCATCGTGTGGCGGTGCTCCTCCGCTCAGGAGAAGATGGGGAGCGTGGTAAAAAGCGAAAGCTACGACAACGCAACGAGAGACATGGGTAGGCAAAGTACGTGTATACAGAAGAAACGCTAGTAGAGGCGAAAGGCTATACGCTGGGTGAACGATGGCGAGCGATAATGGAGAGTCGTAATCGTCTACAGGGGGGCTGTGCAGAAGGGCCAGCCACCGTCTTGGCGGCCGGCAAGCGGACAGCGAAGGGGTCTGGGCGCGACACGAATGAAACTATCCACCCTGGCTGCACCTCTGCGCAATAGACTGCTCAGCTTCGTATCTGTATACGCCGTTGCGCCGCTATTCGCGCGTTTGTTGTCGTGTTGCTCCACGCAGGAACACCCGGATGCACAAAAATTACACTCAACGTGAACCTAGCAGCTGCATATTCGTACTATATCCGTACTAAACATAGAGGCGCGCACGGCGGCCGCCCAAACAAACACAGCATGGTCATGCCTCAGCGCGCATACTGCCTGCGTCTCACTATAGGACTGCCATTGCTCGGCGCTTGTTCCCTCCACACTAGCAGAGCTTCGTATGCTTCCCTCCCATAGCAACCAAGCCCACCCGAGCCAAGTCGAGCCGTTTATTTCTTCTTAGACTGGTGCACAATATCGATGATCTTGTCGACTACCGACGGATCCGAAAGCTGTCGGAGGCGTTAGTAAACATCATCCCACCAAGTACGCGTCATCGCCGTCAACAAGAGAAGAATATTGGCAAAACTCAGACTTACTGTTGTGATGTCGCCCAACTGGTCCTCTTCTCCCGCCAAGATCTTGCGCATGATACGGCGCATGATCTTGCCGGATCGCGTCTTTGGCAGATCTGGCACCACAAAAATGGCCTTCGGTGCCGCAAACGGTCCAATCGACTTGCGCACTTGCATCACCAAGTCCTTCTTCACCTGGTCACTTGACTCTGTGCCGTCTTTCAGCGCTACAAAAGCGTTGACAGCTTGGCCCGTCAGTTCGTCATTGATACCCACCACGGCGGCCTCAGCCACTTGGTCTGCGCAACCGTCAGCAACTTGCATATCGGACTTTCGGACATAACGTACGGTGCTCAATAAGCGCGGCTTCGATCTCAGCGGTAGACAGCCTGTGACCCGAGACGTTGACAACATCATCAACGCGTCCGCGGATCCAGTAATAGCCCTCGTGGTCACGTCCGGCACCATCTCCAGTGAACTGCAGATATTATTAGAATTTGCATCTAAGTAATCAGCTTGCCCAAACTCACGTAGTAGCCCTTGTATACGTTCAGGTATGTGTCCATGTATCGCTTGTGTGCTCCCCAAACTGTGCGGGCCATGCTGGGCCACGGCTGTTTGAAGGCCAGTACACCCTCGACATCGTTGCCGTGAATCTCCTCGCCAGACACGGGGTCGATGATCGCAGGCTCGATACCGAAGAATGGCAAAGATGCGGATCCGGGCTTCGTGGGTGTGATGCCTCCCATAGGTGAGATGACGTGGGAGCCAGTCTCAGTTTGCCAGTAAGTCTGTCTCAGTCAACAATAATGTCTATGAATGTACTCAGCCGCAACTCACATCAACAACGTGTGCTTCCTCCTTTCCGACAATCTCAAAGTACCACTTCCACACTTCGGCGGCAATTGGCTCACCAACAGATCCGAGAATCCTGAGGTTCTTCATCTTGTGCTTGACGTGCTCGTCACCCGCACGCTTGAGCAGCCGCAGCGCAGTGGGGGCGACGTAGAACTGGCTGACGTTGTACTTGTCGACAATGTCCCAGTAGCGCGAGAAGTTGGGGTAGGCGGGTGTGCCTTCGAAGACGACGGTAGCTACACCAAGCAGTAGAGGGGCGTACACGACGTAGGTGTGACCTGTGATCCAACCCACATCACCACCGCAGAAGAAGACGTCGTTGTCGTGGATGTCGAAGACGTACTTTCCGGTTGCTGCTGCGCCAAGGAGGTAGCCTGCGGTTGTGTGCATGACACCCTTAGGCTTGCCGGTGGACCCTGAGGTGTAGAGCAAGAAAAGAGGGTCTTCCGAGTTCATCGACTCTGGCGCAATGTAGTTGGGGTACTTCTCCACCTCCTCGTGCCACCACCAGTCGCGACCCTTGGTCCAGGGAACCTCGGCGCCGGTGCGCTTGTAGACCAGGCAGTGGCTGATGCCGGGACATTGCTTGAGAGCATCGTCGACGATCTTCTTTGTGCTGATGGTCTTGCCGCCACGCTTGCCCTCGTCGGTGGTGATGACGACCTTGCACTCTGCGTCGATGATACGGTCGCGTAGCGAATCAGACGAGAAGCCCGCGAAGACAACGGAGTGGACGGCACCGATACGTGTGCAGGCCAAGAAGGAGATGACGGCCTCTGGAATCATAGGCAGGTACAGGGCAACGGTGTCGCCCTTCCTCACACCCATCTCCTTCAGTGTGTAGGCCAGCTTCGAGACCTGGCGGAGGAGTTCTCCATATGTGATGATGCGGCCATCGCCCGCGTCGTCGGCCTCGTAGATGATGGCAGGCTTGTTGGGGTCCTTGAAGGCATGACGGTCGACACAGTTGTAGCTGGCATTCAGTCTGCCCTCCGCGAACCACGCGACATCGCCGTGTTCGAAGCTACCCGAGGACACAGTCTGGAAATCGCGCTCCCACGTGAGCAGTTCGCGCGCGAGTCGGCCCCAAAAAGCTTTCGGGTCTGTGATGGACTCCTTGTACAGCTTCTGGTACTCTTCGAGGTTCTCAAGATGCGGTTTCGAGTGCGGGTGCTTGCTGTGCGCGCGTTAGCTGCGTGCTCTCGTCTGGATGCGATCGCGATCTGGTTGTCGGCCAAACGCTCGGCGGCGCGGGGTCACCCCGCCCACCCGCGAGCTCTGGAGCTTGGATGACGCCGCAGCTGTCATTGTCTTGGTGCATGATGTAATGACCAAACAAACAGAGAGACTCACTCGTAAAACGCCTTGGGAACGTGGAATGTGTCCACCTGGTGGGCTTCGGCCACGACGGGCGGCTTGACGTCTCCTTCAGACATGTCTGGGCTGGTCGATGTGGATTATTTAGCCTGGCTGGCGGGGCAAAGGAGCTCGGCTTCGGCGCGCTGCAATTTCGCGTCGAGGGACAGTTCACCAGCTTCACCAGCGTAGAAGCGTAGTCTGGCAGGATCGCAGGTCAGAGACGGACGGATTGTCCAGAACAGTTATATGTCTCAATTCCGGGTAAAGGGGTCGGCGGTACGCTTGATTGCCGCAGGGGCCGGAGTGAAGTTGGTGAATGTTCGGGAAACAGCTGCTTAAGTGGAGCTTCGCGTGGCTGTTCAAGGTTCGAGATTGAGGCGACGCGGTTGGGAGAGGGAGTTTGTAATGCAGAGCACGAGATGGGCGAACGGCACTCTTATGAGCTGCGACTCTAGTAGGGCGTTGGTGATGTCGCCTTACCCCTCGCGTACCTTCGCTGCGGGGACTGGAATATGACGAACAGCTTATTGCTGGCTTCTGTCTGGGCCCACACGCATTCCGTGGGCGGCACCATGATCCAATACGGATAGCATCCTGTGATGCCCTCCGTTTCTCCGGATCACTAGCACACCACGCCAGTCAGACTGTACTGCTGTGCCGATCCGCCGTCAATCTGCTTGACTGCCAATAATTGGCGACATCCAATTTGCCCTGCTTCACATGCTGTAAACGCGCGCAGCGATATGTTGGCTCATCAGGGCGGGCACTTATTCACCATCACCATGTACCTAGATATCCATGCTCGACCCTGAGGAAAACAGCTTCGGCAGGCAGCCGGCTCGCAACTTCGCGACCGCACAATATCTCCCGGCCGTACGCAATAGCCCGAATTCAGGCGGCGCAGTCGGCCTATAATGACTTGCAAAACTGTCATCACCTGGGCAGTGTCGAAGAGCAGGAGCTCTCCCGTAAGCTACAAGCTCGGCTACAAAGGTGCCGAACCCTCCTACAAAGCTCTTGGTATGACACCACACAAGCCCCAAGCACCCCATTGTGACCAGACTGTCAAGAGTACAAGTTCCACATATCTGGCAGATTGTGGAGCTGATCGCATGTTCCTTTGCAAAGAATGGGCCTGACCACGCGATGTTTGCAAGCATCAGCTTTCGGGCGTGGGGAAGAGGGACGCAGGACCCATCCGAGGCACCGGCAATTGTTACCGTTGGGCTGGTCGCCATATCTGTTCCCGCTTGTCTGTGCTAGTTGTCCTTTACAGTGGACACTTTTGCATGGCGTGCTGAATTACTTACAAGAGCTAGCTGTTGTGAGTGGTGTTTTGTGCAGTTCGCGCTAAGCTTTCACCGTGCGAGAGGGTAATATGTTCCGTCCTCGGTTGACAGCCCATGCGAACGCCCTGTGAGAGAGCGCCTTTACGCGCATGTCTTCGTGCACATGCTTAAATGTGCAGTGTAGTTTACGGTAGCGTCTAATGTGCGATCAACACAGTGATCGCGATGCGACCATCCATACACATCTTGGCATTCAAACAGCCGTCGTCATAGCTACCGGCATGCCGTATTGGCTGCTGTTGGCAGGTCTGGGCACGCTGAAGCAGATGCCGACCAATAACGACTTACAGAGACGTGTTAGTTGGAGCATTATCATTGCGGGGCCCCGCAGGAGAGCAATAGCCAAATTTAAATATCTCCCGGGCTCGATGAGTTTACTGTGCCGCCTCAAATGAGCCAACTCAATGCTTTCACATTGGGATTAACAAACGGCCTGCATGCCCGGAGATTGGTTTCAACTCTGGCCAGAGTAGAAGCCGTAGTAGCCGTGTCTCGCTTCAAACGGGACTTCGCAGCTCAATGGCGAAAAGATGGGAATGACTTCATCAGTCTACATAGCAACAACAGTGCCATCCACTACATGTACCACCACATCCCCATCCCCACCCCCATCTCTACTATCACTCCTCCATTTCCTCTCCACCAACTCGGGATTAATCACAATGCCCCTCTCTCCCACCCCTTCCCACTCAAACTCATACGTATCCAACTGCCCAAACAACCATATCCTCACCGTCAGCGCATCCGTAATAATCCGCGCGAGATCCTCATCTCTGTCCTGATCGCTAGACGTAGGATTCGCCCAAGGGAAGAAGGTAAGCGAGAAATGTTCGGCTGCTTCGCGTGTTTCTGACTGCGCCATCCAGGATTTGCGCCGGTTCGGGTACCCGGTTATGGTGCTGTAGAGGTAGACGGAGACGCGGCGGTGGAGAGAGGTGGCGGCTATGAAGTCGGGATCTAGGATGGGGTGTGAGCTTAATGCCTTCCGCGGATCGAGGGGTAGGGATGGAGGTTTACCTGATCCAACGTCGGCGCCATTTGCGACATGCGCCAGCTCTTCTGGGAATAATGCGCCTTCCCTGTCCCCTTTTTGCTTTGGCCCCGTTATACCCAGTACGTATGCTACGAGCGCATGCTTGAGTGCTGCAGTTGGACTAGAACATTCTTGCAAGAGTTCCGCCATATCCACACCTTTGATGCCGAACTTGGCGATTGAAGGTTCCATACTCGGAGTGATACAGGCATGTACGTCGCGGTAGAACTTCTCGATATGCTCATGCATCATGCTGAACAAGTGCGACACGCCATTCCACACTTCATCGTCATCTGCCGCAGGTGGTAGGAAAGAGGTAACATCCTTGGACAATTCGTTTGCCCCGACCGCGGGCGTTATCATCGGAGGAGATAATGCAGCAGTGGGCGTCGGTGGCATAGGTGTTTGCGATACCTGTACATATGGGCTGTGCCGCCCTCCTAGACTGCCGACACCTTTATGTTGCATCATTCCCAGATCGGGCGCGGAGTCGCCATAGCTTGGGTAATCTTTGCTACTGACGTTTGCATTCTTGTGTTTATTCCGCTGCCTAAAGAGGAAGAATGCGGCGGCGAATGCGATTGCTGCGCCAATGATGAACGTTCCGATGGCGATACCCGTTACTGCGCCAGCGCTTAATCCCTTCGTCTCGTCGCCAGCTGCTACTCCGGCCAGGGTTGCGACCGTTGCCTGACTTGGATCTTCCGTCGTTACGGATGTTAGTTGGCTGGGTGAGGCAGTCTGGCTTTGCGACGTTGATATTGATGTTCTTATGATTGAGGGCGTTTGCAATCCTAAGCTCGTGAAGGTGAGCTGGGTGCTAGGTTCGGCAAGTTGTGTGATGCTAGAGCCAAAGCCATCAAAGGTAGGTGATGGCTGTATGTCCGAAATGCCATCGGATGGAGAAATCCCCCATCCACCCGGCGTCCTTGTCAGAGCGAAACCAATTCCCTCCGTTTGTGCGGTACTTGTCCCGTCCGTCTCTGAGGTACTCGCGCCGAGTTTCTCACATCCTTGAGTCCAAGGAATACATCGCGGTAAATCGTCGTCAAATGCGGTGGTCGTGAAGCTCCGGATAAAAGGCAGCATCTTTACAGTACCCAGGTATATCAAGCTAAACCCAAGGCTGCACTTCAACCACAAATCCAACGGGCAAAAGGCGAAAAAGAGAGAAAAAGATCAGGAAACGAAACAAACCTCTCCAGCCTCAAGGGCCACCTATGAACAAAGACAACCCCATCGTATAAGCCGATCAGGCTTCCAGCTCAGCCGCAGCATCCTCCAAGGCACGCCGCACTCCGCCTCACGCACTGCAGCAACCCAAACCCCGAATCCTTCCAACTCCCAGACACACGCTTTGTTGCTTACCGTCGTACGGGCAATCAAGCCAGACAGACGCCTTGTCATAATTGTGCAGCTTCCCACTATTGGGACGGCGTAACGTGGGGCGCAAGGGTACGAGTAAGCAAACCAGTCCAGTTATGAGTGCGCGGATACGGTGATCCATTTGTTTGCACTAGGGCGGCGGCTGTTTTGTTGTTTGGGGGCCTGGGGATGCATGTGTGGATAAGGGCGGCTGTGCGCAGCCTTGTTCTTGTTTGCACAGCCTAGGTAAGGGTTGTCCGCGTTGTGCAGGACAGGTAAGATGGGTTTTAGATTGCGGGTTGTCTCACTTGTTGGTGGTTGTTTGAGCGGCGGGCGGGGAGATGTCACGGCACGTGGTGGTTAAATGGGGAAAGAGGGAGGTTTGCACATGCCATTTCCTCAAATCCAGGTTGCCGGCGGGCAAGGGCAGGGTCTATGTGTTCTAGCGTCCACCACCACCACTTCTTCAAACATTGTTTCTGGTTTCTTTGGTGAACTTCCCTCGAGTTCGCTTGTCGGTATGGGTACTTTGGCACCTTCGGTACCTTCAAGTTCTTGTGCGGTCTCTTGGCAGGGAAGCTCTGCTGTGCTGTACGATCCTTTGTGCGCCAGCATCTCCACAATCTGATGGTGTGCTGAGACTTCAGCTGCGCTTTCATCGGTGCTATAACCCCGCGCTCTTTGTTTGCGTCGCCTGATACATACAAAGGCGATGAGTAGGGCTACTAATACCACCAAAGCCATGATGCCGGCTGCGATCCCTCCCTTTGCGCCGTTGGAGAGACTCTTTGAGTTGGTGGAAGCCGCGTTCGTGTTGGTGGAGGTAGCTGAAGACGTGGGGGTAGAGGAAGTCGAAGAAGCTGTCCACGTCGATTGTTAGCGATTGTTTAGTTGCTCATGGGGATTATGGAAACATACCCGTCACCTTCTCCAACCTCCCATTCTTCAAAAAGCATCCCCGCAGCCCCAGTGTCTCACAACTCTCATCCAACCCCTCCACCAGATCCGGCGCCAACATCGCCGCATCGATCACAAACCCTGGATACACAGCCGTCGCCGCATCGAACGTAGCGTTCATGAGCCAGCAATTTTCGAATTCTGTTGCGCCGAGAGGTCGGAAATCGAAGCCGTAGCACAGCGGCTCTTTCTTGACGCAGCGGCCCATACAATCAGACCAGGTTTCCTCGAAGGTGGGATCGAGGAAGTCAACTTTGGCGCCGATGTCTTTCCCGCAGAGGTTTTGGAAGGGTACGGTAAGGTTGAAGTCGTGGTAGGTGGTGGTGTTGCCCTCGCATCTGTCGCTGTCTGATTGCGCGGAGGTGATTGTGATGAATGTGAGAAGGCATGCGAGCCAGATGTATGAAGACATTGTCGGCAGCATAATAGCAGCTCGTCTACTATCAAATTGATAATTAAAGGAAATAAGATAGTGCAAGAGAGGCTGGATCGTCCGAGAACCCTCGGCAGCTAAAATACATCTTGTCCGTCTTCTCCCACAGCCTGGGTACAAGCATCGTCCCCCCAACAGATGCACTGAGTATGCCGCAGACGATCCTTTCGACGTCAAGACTTGCACTTTGCCCAATGACACAACCAACGTGTATCTTCCCCTTCAGCCACATATCCTTGGCAAAGCACGAGGCGTTCTCAGCCTTGTGCGAACCTCACAAGCTATGCTGAAAGACTAGTCAGTTCGCAAGGGTCGGGAGTATAAATAGTAGGAATTGACGGAATAGAAGATGGTCTTGTAGTTTACTGCGCCCTTGAACACGAATGCAGCGCAAAGAACTGGACTTATTGAGTAACTAGCTCTGTCGAAGTGAGCGATATGTATGCCAAGAATATGGCGGTTTATGTGCAATGCGGGGCCGCCTGCCGCGATACTCCATCGTAGAAAAGATCAGCCTCGATTTTGATCAAATTTGCAAGTGTCGACTGGCTCGACGTTGTCAAGTAACCGCCATTGCTCTCCACCTTCCCTCAATAAGAGAACGGCCTAACAGCATACGTCTCCTTCTCCTCCGGCAGTGGCGAAACAGGCTTCTCCATAAACTCGGGGTACAAATACCACGCCAAGTGTTTGCCCTCCGTCTGCGCACTAGTCCACCCATTCCCCAACCAAGCCAACCTGTTGCTCGTCTTCCCCACACCATGCAGCTCGGTACCGTCACTCTGTCCCTCGAGCTCATCCAAATAAACATAGTCAAAGTCTTCCCACCTTGGACTTCGCATCGCCTCAATGCAATGCAACGTACTTCCCGGCCAGAGCCCAACGACCTCGCCCGTTCCCTTGTTCTTATACCAACTTCGGCATTCGTCGGCAAAGACAGTGCCCTGGAAGTAGGCGTCGACGTATTCGATGAAGTCCTTCTCGCGCGCTTCCTTGACAACCATGGCTGCGATGTTTTCTTTTTGGATCTTGCGGATTGCTTTGATGATGTAGTCGCCTAGGGTCTCGATCATGCACGTCAGGCTGCCGGAGCCGATTGCGGCGTTGGGACCGAGCATGGTGAAGAGGTTGGGGAAGCCAGATACGGAGTGTGAGAGGTAGCTTACGGCGCGGTCCTCCCACTTCTTAGCAAGTGGCAGGCCGTTACTGCCGGTTAGAGGGAATGGAGGTGGGGCTGAGGCTTTGAAGCCTGTGGCACACACGAGAACGTCGATTTCGTGCCTTTTCCCGTCGGCGGTGTGGATTGCGGATTCGGAAATGTGTGTTATGGGCGATGTGACAAAGTCGACGTTGGGCTGCGTCAAGGCTTCGAGATAGCCTGGACCGGGCGTCAACCGGCGGCACCCTGGCGAGAAGGAGGGCAAGAGTGCTTCGAAGATCTCAGGCTTGCTCTTCAGCCTCTCTTTCATGTGCTGATGGAACATATCCTTTGCGCCCTTTTGCAACTCAGTCCCTTTCATGGTAACAGCATGGATGCCGTTTCCATCTTCCTCGACTGAAAGCCTGAACTTGTGGTAATATTCGGGATCGTTCGCGAAACGATCGCGAAGCTCTGGGGGAATCGTCGAACCATTGAAACCGTACTTGTCCCATAGCTGTTGGCCAAAGGGAGGCGAGATCCACGTCTTACTACGCACAAAGGTACTAATATGAGTACCTGGTAGACGCTGCAACGACGGGACAATCTGGATGGAAGAAGAACCAGAACCAATGACGCCTACTCGTTTGTTGTCGAAGTCGTAGGCTTGATTCCAGACTGCCGAATGCATGACCTCGCCTTTGAACGTCTCAAAGCCCTTTATCTCAGGCCAAGATGGTGTGTTCAAACCACCCCTACCAGAAACAAGTACGTCGGCCTTGTCCTGCAGCACATCTCCTGTTTCGAGATTCTTCACTGTGATGTTCCACTTGGCAGTCTTGTCATCCCAGTGGCATGCCTGAATCTCATGGCGTAGCTTGATGAAGCGATCCGCGGAGTACTTGTGCGCTACATCTTGGAGGTAAGATTGAATCTCCGCAGACGGGGCATAGAGAGAAGACCAGTTCGGGTTCGGCTGGAACGTATACTGGTATGAGTGTGCTGTAGATTATTAGCCGTGGTTGTACCCGTAAGTTCAAGCTTGCTTACATGGTATGTCGCATGCGCAACCGGGATATCTGCGATCAAGTCAGTGGATGCACTGCGAAACAGTAAGAAGACCTTGGTTAGTCACAGAAGGAATGCTTACCTGTTCTCGTACCAGGTCCCTCCAACGCCACCATTCTTCTCATAGATGATAAGATCGACATTTCTCAATCTCTCTGGAATGCGAATGCCGCAATAGATGCCCGAGTATCCGGCACCGATAACAACAACTCTCAGACGTCGCAAGTTTTCCACAGGCGCATCGTTGAGCTTGAAAGGCGGCTTCGCTGAAAGCCCGTTGGCATCCTCGCTGATGGAAATGCCAGGCGCGTCGATAGGAAGGTTAGGTACTGCCGACATCGTCAAGAAAGAACGAGTTACACAGTAGTAGTGGTTGCGCGACAGGTATCCAAATTATATGGTTTATTCAGAAGCTAGACTGGCCAGCGTAGGTAGTAGTATAGAGTATGACAGAAACGATCCAGATGATGTTGGCCGCAAAATGGCGACAAAGAACCGTTATAAGTACGGCCACCTACACCCCTCACCATCGTCAGGGTTGGCGGTATGATACAAGTGCCGAAGCAGTAGGCGGAGCGTTAGCGAGACCGTCGAGACGTCGAATTATCAGCCTGATTCAGCAGACGGCCTGACGTTCCACCACTAGACTTAGCCTATCAGAGCGCGACGGCCTCCGCATCTGTCTCGGCCGAGGCGCCACCCCAGACCTCCACATGCGTCCCGCTACATCCCGCAATGCGCTCTTAGTGACTTTGCGATCGCGGAATATCCCCGGGAAGACTTGCGCGTTCGGCCCTGGATAGTTTTCTGTCCGTCCTGTGCAATACAGCTGAAACCTCCCTGCGAGGAGCGGCGCGATAGTTGTGCCGCAGAGCTGCAATTGAGTTTGTTCCATAGACGATCCCCGGTACTACCTCGGAACCGTGACGATGGCAATCTGTAGTAGTGTAAGCAATTGGAAATCTTCTCTTCGCATTTTGCATACCTGGTTTCCAAGAGCGATAGATAACCTGGAACTATCTGGATCCCAACCAAGACTGTACTCTCCGTCTATGCCAGGGTTCCATCTGTCGCTGGGGGTTTCACTGGCGCGCCACGAGGCTACTGGTACATCTCTCTTTTCTACATTCCAAACAGTGACGGCATCGGGACCTGCAGCAGCTAAGAGCGACCCGTCTGGAGAGAAAGCAATCTTAAAGGCCTGCGTACCATCCGTGGTAGGTAGGTATTTGACGCATTTGAAAGGTTCGTTTGCATCCCAGATGCGCGTTGCACCAGCCATGGAGCTCGTTGCAAGCAGAACAGAGGGCAGCGAAGAACCGTTCGTAAGGTGGCTGGTCTTTGATTTTACGCGGAAACTGAGATCGGTGGGGTACTCATCAGGATATTCGTGGACCTGTAGTTGTATGGAGTCGTTGGGGTGGAGGATGCCAAGATAGTACTTCCTGTCTTCAATACCCAGCACGGCGATGATGCTAGACGCGGCATCGTACTTGACCGTCTCCCATGTTACTGAAGTGTCGAGGGTTTGCTGGGTGGTCAAGGAGTCATTGACGTTGTAGATCTTGAAAAGTTTGATACCACAAACGACAAAAGCAGAGTCGCTTATCCAGTGGGCGTCGAATATGGCCGTGTCGGTGAATTCGGTCCATGCGGGTATAGAGTCGCTATCGTTCTTCCACACCTTGATGGAGCCCTTTTCGCCGTCTGTTGATATCGAGAGCAGCAGGTTTCGTTCGGGGTTCCAGCGAAGCGTGTTGATGAGGCCGGCAGTGGAGGAGATGACCTGCGAGGCCTGGCCGCCTTCGGTCAGCTTGATGAGCTTGTCCATCATCATCTTCTCGCCGACTTCGTTGGATCGCTGTTCGCGCACAGAGACGGTGAGTTCGTTGTCGGAATGCCAGCACAGGGCGGTGACGTCGAAGTTGTCGACGGGTAAGGGTATGTCGAAATGCTGGGTGGGGGGTTCATGGCCAGGGTCTTTGCTCACAACGTGAACTTGGAGGAGGGATTTGCCGGCTGCGAGCAGTACAGGGGAGTCTATGGGCCCCCATAGTGTGTGCTCGATGAGGCAGGCAGGGTCTGAGGGGGGAGGGATGGAGACGATGCCGGGAGTGAGATCAGCCACAGCGATGGCCTCTGTCTGGATCTCAGCGTCCTGGCCGATGCTGAGGGTGGATATGGGGATATCAGCAAGCGAGGGCGACTCGGCTTCCGAGACCATGGGCTCCGACTCAGCCCGCACGCTGTTGGTCACATGCGTGGTGCCGTTGTGCTCGATTTCCATGGCATCGCCGTTGACCTGGGGCTCGGGGCGCGGCTCGACGCCATTCGTGGGCTTCGTCTTCTTGCGCTTAAGCGTCTTCTTGGGCGGGGGTTCTTGGACAGCGCCGTTGGCCTCGGCGGCGAGTTCGTGTGCGGGAATGCCCTTGTCGAGGGTCAAGAGGTTGCCATTGCGCGCCGAATAGGGTCGTCCGTGGTCGCTGCCGAACTTGTAGCGCGGCTCCGTCTGCGCTCGTCAGTACCAGCCTCCCGCGCGCGTGTATGCGACGTACATTGCAAGCCTCGGCCTGCAGCTGGTCGAAGCACAGCCCGTCCTGGACGAGCCTGATGAGGGCGTGCTGCTCGATGTTCTTCGCAAAGGGCAGCGTGTCGGGGTCGCGGATCCAGCATCGCGAGAGTTGCAGGGCGGCATTACCGAATCCGGCCTCCTGAAGATATCGCCATACTGCACCTAGACGTCAGTCATGCAGGCCAACAGAGGCGTGGGCTG